GATTGTCTCCTTCAGGATATTTTTGCATCGTGGTGTTTACTGCCTGAGGCTAGATTCGTCATACGCAGCCAGCGTCAATCAACCACCCCCCCTCATGAGCCCCGACTAGCAAAACAAGCGATTATGTCCGACTCCATTCCAGCGACCTTCAAGCCTACCCTCATCCTGCACGGCGGCGCAGGCAACATCCAGCGCTCGACGCTCCCTCCCGACCTCTACGCTCAATACCATGCCTCCCTCCTCTCCTACCTCCGCTCAACGAAAGAGCTCCTGAACAGCGGCGCCAGCGCCCTAGACGCAGCCGTCCACGCCGTCTCATTGCTGGAAGACGACGAGCTCTTCAACTGCGGGCGCGGCAGCGTATTCACCTCGGCAGGGACAATCGAAATGGAAGCGTCTGTGATGGTCACAACTGTCAACAAAACCACCGATGACGAGACACCCGGCTCCGTCAAGCGGGGTGCAGGCGTGATGGGGCTAAGAAACGTCCGAAACCCGATACAGCTTGCGAAGGAGTGTCTCCTCCGTTCAGGCTACGACGCCAACGGCGACCCGACCGGCGACGGGGGCAACATGCATTCGCAGCTCATGGCGCCGTACGTGGAGGACCTGGCTCGGGCGTGGGGGCTGGAGTTCAAGCCGGACGGGTGGTTCTGGACCAAGAGGCGGTGGGAGGAACATCAGCGCGGGCTGAGAGGGGAGGAGGAGCCTGTTTCCATGAGCCAGGGGACGGTCGGGTGCGTGTGTCTCGACCGGTGGGGGAATCTGGCTGTTGCGACGAGTACGGGCGGGCTGACGAATAAGCTTCCTGGGCGGATTGGGGATACGCCGACGCTCGGGGCGGGGTTCTGGGCTGAGGCGTGGGAGGAGGTGTTGCGTGAGGCCGGGGGTATGGTATATCGGTCCTCGATGTCAAACCCGCGCGATGCGGAGGATGCTTCTTCTGGAGCTGCAGCCATTACGAGGATAGTAGCCGATTGTATCCCGCCGATTTTGAACAGGTTGCTGTGGCCGGATACGCGGTTGCCCAGTATGGACATCTACTCGTATGCAGCGCACAGCTCCGAGAAGCAGGCTCTTCTCGAGCAGGAATCTACGCCGCGGCGTGTCAGACGACGAGCTGTTGCGCTGTCAGGGACCGGAAACGGGGACTCCTTCCTCCGCGTGGCGGCGGCTCGCACCGCCTGTGCTATGCTTCGATATTCCCAGTCATCGGTTCCTCGTTCTCTCGCGGAAGCTGTCAGTGCTGTTGCCGGCCCGGATGGAGAACTTGAGCGTTCCGCGGGCCGGAGATGGGGCAAGACTGGGGAAGGTGAGGGTGGCATCATTGGAATCGAGGCCGAGACGGTGTTGGATGCTACTGGTGCAGGTTTGCACGGGGAGCGGAAGAAGGCGCTAAGTCGGGGCAAGGTGGTGTTCGATTTCAATTGCGGGGGGATGTGGCGAGCTTGGGTGGAGGAAGATGCTACTGGGAAGGATGTTGAGAGAGTAATGGTTTTCAGGGAGGAATACCAGTAGCTGGTTGATTATAGCACAATCCATTTCTAGACTCATCTGCCTGAAAGTACCGGCAGCTGCAATCTGGTTCAAGCCACGAGACATGCAATCAATACAGTATGAACTTTACCACCCCTCCAACGGGGTAAATTTAGCCAGCACGCCATCCTTTGGAGCAACCGTGGCCGACAGTCTCAATTCAAGCTTCGCATCGGGGTCCTTCAGTTCCATCTGAAACCGTCCCACAGTGGCAGCAACAAGACAGGCCAGCTCAGCCTTTGCAAATCCCTGTCCAATACAACTTCGCGGGCCATGCAAAAAAGTCAAAAACGAGTAATTACTGCTGGCACCGCCAGTATTCGCTCGCCCCGGACCCAACCACCGCTCAACGTTGAATTGGTCCGCGTCAGGACCCCACAATTCCTTACTGTGGTTGATGACTTCCGGAGCTACGAGTATCCTCGTGCCCTTGGGAATAGGGTATCCGAGGAGCGTGGTGTCTTCGGCCGCATCGCGCACGGTGCTCGGGACAGAAGGGTGGAAGCGGAAGACCTCGTTGCAGAAGGCGTTGAGGTAAGGGAGGGAGTCGAGCGTGGCTGCGGAGAGGGGCTCGGGGTGCTCGGGCGAGATGGGAGGAAGGTGAGCGCGGATTTCCTCGCGGAGGCGCGTCTGCACGTCCGGGTGCTTGCACAGGGCGTAAACTGACCACTGGAGGGCTGAGGAGGTGGTTTCGTGGCCGGCGGCGAGGAAGGTCATCATTTGATCTACGAGTTCCTCTTCAGTGAAGGCGCCGCTTTCCAGTGCCACGGAGACAATGTCGGTTCCGGCTTCGGCGGATGTTTGGTTCTTCATCTTTGCTTCCCTTTTGCGGATCATTTGGCGGGCTACGTCGCGGATATAGAGGGAGCTTTCGTGAATCTCGCGGTTCCGCCTCAGGGGGAGGCGTTGCACGACTCCAAGGCCCGCGATTAGGACGCCGATGACGAAGAGGATACGCGTTGCGAGCCACGGCTCTTCGAGGAGCCGCCGGTAGTGCTTGGTGAGTTCATTGTTAGAATCATGCAGAGAATCAAAGTCATGGTTCATTCCTGCGACGCCGATGATGTCTAGAGTTGCTCTACTAGCCCATTCGCTCACGCGAACAATATTGTCTTTGGCGTCTGCTCGGTTATGGAGGTCTTTCTCGATCAGCTTGACCATCTCAATGCTCTTGGACCAGAAAGTCGGGTAGAGGTTCTTTATGTGGCGGTAGGAGAAAGCCGGCATAAGATTCTTTCGTTGTTTCTGCACAATGCAGCTCCGTGAGTCTGGGATGCGCGTTCAGATCAGCAAAGAGCGCTCACCTTATGCTCGTCTCCCTCAACAAGAAGCACGCCATGCTTTCCTGTAACGCGTGCAAGGCTTTGCCTTACGATCGGAGGCTTGGGAAACTCGTATACCTTCGTGACAAGGAGCTCACTCAGGGCTTTAGGGTTCGTCAGCAATACACGCTCGAGGTTGCCCACGATATAGTAACGAATTAATCCGTCGTTGGGCACTTTGTGTGCCCATTCTATCATCTGTTCGAACGGCGATTCGATGAGATATGAGCTCGTATTTCCAGTAAGCCATGACCAGGCCTGTTGTGATAGGTTTAGAACCTGTTCAGTCCGCGCAATGAAGGAATCTTACCGGAGGTGTGGGAATTTGTTTTATAGGAGTGAAGAACCTAGGGTACAGGACGAGGGCATAGATGATCCTGAAGCAAGTAACAGCCAGAGACAGCACAGCGAATGTCGCCGTTGGTGAATTAAAGATCGTATATTGAGGTCTCATGTAGACGGAGGCTGCGATGGCAAGGTAAATTGCCGGCCATGGGATCTTGACCGTCATCTTGAATAGGCGATGGAGAGACCTTATGACAACCTGGCTGAGGGAGTGAAATCAATTGCTCAAAAACCAAAGAAATGCCAGGTTGTGTTGACTTGCGAGTATCGAATATCGCGTAGGAGTATACGGGGGTTGCCTGATTCGGTCAAGAAATGACTTCAGGGTGTCTAAGAGGTCGCTAGCACTCTGCCATGAAAAGCTCGCCTAGAAAGCGTGTGTCCTTGCGTTGAAGGCGCCAAAACCGAGGCTCTTGGTGACACTTGGTCGCTATTCACAAGACTACGAAGGAGTAGCTCTCGACTAGAAGCTCCAGAAGTTGCGAACTAGTAGATTGTTGATGGTGGGTTCGATAAACTGCATTTCATCCCTGGCTTTTAGACACAGACATCGAGCAGCCTATAGACTTGAGTTTGAGTCGGGCCCTTTTGCGATGTTGTAAGGTCGGGTGGTGAGGGCAATAGTAGGAGACAAATCGGATGAATCGATCTACCCGACTTGATCATCGTCATCATGGTGGGCCAACTCGGCTTTTTAATGGACACTGAATGCGACTAATGACTGTCATCATTCTAGGCACCATTCAATAGGAGTAGGCTAATTTGACTAGATCCTCTCGCTTGCAAGCTTGACACCTTGGCAATCCGGATAGTCTTATTGACACGGCCTCGATGGATGAGTTATGAAGACGCATAAAACCGGAGCTGCAGCCCACGTTGATGCAGACACGTGATTCTATAATCAATAGAAGGGACACGATACTGTTCTGCCAATACTGCCAGACCGAAAGTTGCTTCAAAGCTGTATGGAAAAGGCCCATGATCTGTCGCGCCTGATGAAGATTCTGTGGTGAGAAAGATACACAGTCGAAGGGAGAGTCTATTTGCACCGGAACTGATAATAAAGTGTAATATCTCCGACTAAGATGTCGCCGAAAAGACATATATAGACAGAGGACCAGAAATGTCGCCGAGCTTGTATATGCCATTTTGAATCGATAATTATCATTGCCATACAAATTGGATGACCGCCTTTTCAAGAATAATACCCGACATTTCCATTCTCCCAGTATCTGAGCAGCAATGACCGATCACCCAAGAGACTGAGACGGGCCATGGCTCATCACCGCGCCTGGAATCCGCGTATCTCGCTCCCATGAATGGATGGAGACTCTGGGTGACTATACTAGCGTAGGACTCCAGCAGCAGCGGGGATTGTGTCGAACCCCCTAACTCTGGCCAGGCTGTTCCTGGGAATGACGATTGTCTCGACAGCCCTCGTCACCATTGCCTTGGAGCTGGGGAATTACAACAAGTCAAACTGGATTGTGGTGTCATATCTATTCTCCTACACTGGTTCGTAATACATCTTCTGCTTCTGACTTCTTAAAGCTCACTGGCACCGGACAGGCTTCCTCATCATCTACGCCAGATGCAGCGACATATTTGGTCGAAAGTCCGCCTTCCTCAGCGCGCTGGTCATCTTCACAGTATTCTCCATTGCGTGTGGAGTGACTCGTACGGTAGACCAATTGTGGGTAACTGACCTTGCTCTCTACCGCTGCTTCGTGTTGTTTACGGACTTATAGGATCGTGTTCCGCGCGCTGCAGGGCATTGGAGGCGCCGGCATCTACAGCATGGTCATGGCTGTTATGGCCGAAGTGACTCCTGTTGATGTGACCGGCCCAGTGACCGGGCTGATGAGTTCCATCTTTGCCCTCTCCAGCATCCTGGGTCCCGTTCTCGGAGGTGTACTCACTTCCCGAACGACGTGGCGATGGGTATTCTACTTGAAGTAAGTACCTCGTCCTTCTACCCAAAAGCCCATATATAAATGACCAACAGTAATGCCAGCATTCCCGGTGGCGGTCTCGCAATAGCGCTTGTTCTTTGGGTGTTTCCCCGAAACGATGGGCGGCTGCAGATTTCATTATCGAGCGTAAACCGTCTTGACTGGCCGGGAATTGCGCTGTCTTTGGCAGGATTGATATTCATCATTCTTGCGCTGGAAGAAGGTGGCGGCGACTATGGGTGGAACAGTGGTCTGATCATCGCCTCGTTTGCTCTGTGCGGAATCTGTTGGATTGCATTCGTGATCTGGGAGGTATTCTTGGGATTTGCTGCACATAAGAAGCACCTTGGGTTTTCCTTTGCACGGGTGATGCTGCCTGTGTTCCCAGTATGGCTCCTGAGGCGTCGCATCGTCACTGCCTGTTTACTGTACGTCGATATGCCCTTGCTTGAATCACTGGAGAGGATCTGGTCGCTCATTGACGCTGTAGATCTGCATTTCTCGCCGACTTCCCGTTCATGGTACTCATCGTGTACCTCCCACGGCGCTTCAAGATCCAGGACGACCTGACCCCGGTGGCGTCGGGAATCCGCATGCCCACTCCTGGGCAGGCTAGGACCATTATCAAGCCCTCAGAGGCCACAGCCCAGGTATGATTTTAGTATAAACACTAGCAAGGATCGCTGAGCGATTTATCTCGGGAGTAAGACGGGGGAGTAGCCTTCCCCAAAAGCGATGGGCTAATTGTAGTCCCAATGTACTATGCTTTATCGGGAGCCTTATTGCAATATAAGCCAAAAAAAAAGGGCTTATATAGGTCAAGAATGCTATCTCTGCCAGATATCTTACAGCGTTGGAAGAAAGCAGATCAAAGTATTGGGGCCCTATTGCATTGGAATGGACTCTGTTCACAGAGAGGCATGCGACGCATGCCACTATCTAAAGGTGAGGTGCTCCTCTGCTACTGGTAGCATGGGTGCCTGTTGGAATTGCCAGAAACACGGCCGACGATGCATTTCAGTCCGCGCAAAGAGATGGGACAACCGCGAAAGTCGAAACTCTCGAGATCTCAAGAGGAGGAGGCTCGAGATGGGGGCATCGAGCCAGAAGAGAGGCTGGAGGAAAGGACACAAGCAGGAATTGGACAGCTCAGCTACTAGCACTCGGACTAGTGCAGAGATGAACACTCGCCTAACGGAGATGAACATCAATTGCCGTCGACATGATACGGATGCAAGGTATGGAGCAGACACTATGGAGGAGTATATGTAGAGATAGTGATAACCCCAAAATGAGATCCACATAGACTCCGGGGATCGAGTGGATGCTGACGAGGTGTCATCTTTGCCAAGGTCAACCCATGCAAGACCTGTATCTCATCTCGGTGCCTTTTGGGGCCCAACAGAGAGGCTGACCACCAATGTGTCGGGCCCGGCTCGGCCACATTTTCCCAACATTTGCCGTTCTTGGATTGTTCGAGGCTGACATGTTAATAAGAGTTGTACTAAGAGAGAAAGACAAAGGAGGTGCTTATTATTATTATTATAGTGCCCCCAGTCTGATCACTAGCGCCCATCCCCCGTCATCATCTACACCTCTTGCATTCTCTGCCCTGGTTCCCCTGACAGATACAGTTATCTGGTGTACGTTCGTCCATTGCCAACCTACTTGATATTCCTTCCGTATACTGCTTTTCTGCCTTAAGTCTGCGACCTGAGACGCGACCATGGAGAAAAATCCCGATTGCCTTCCCTATAGCCCGAATATTCCCACTCCCTTCGGCTATCGCCCCTCCCTTGTGGCCGGTATTATCTTCATAATTCTCTTCTTGGGTGTGACAATTGTCCATGTGTGGCAGGCCTTTCGGCATAGAAATATCTGGCTTGGGCTAGCCTTCTCCCTAGGTGCATTCGGCGAATTTGTCGGATGGTTAGGCCGTACCGTGGCGTATCGCTGTCCGTATTCTGTCAAGCTGCTCGAGATGCAGCTGGCCGCATTAATCATGGGTAGATCTTCAATTTCCTTTTCACTGTCGGGAAGCTATCTATAACGATATGAACAGCCCCCGCTTTCACGACAGCCGGCATCTACGGCGTCCTGAGCCTGATGATCCCCATCATCGGACAGGACAAGTCCCCCTTGCGACCGAACCTCTACCTCATCATCTTCATGACGGTTGATTTCTTCAGTCTCCTCCTCCAGGCCGTCGGCGGTGGTCTTGCTGGCGCCGCATTCAGCCAGAACACCTCCCCCTGGCCGGGAACCTACACGATGGTGGCTGGGATAATCTGGCAACTGGTCTCGACCTGCGTCTTTGCTACATTGCTTGAGTACGTGATCTACCGTGGCCTAGGCCCGATTGCGCGGAATCAAGCCCTGCGGCGGATCTCGCTGTCGTTGATGATTGCGGTTACGTGTATGGTGGCGCGGGGCGTGTATCGGAGCATGGAGTTGATGAATGGGTGGCGGGGGTATCTGTTTACGCACGAGGTGTATGCGATTATTCTCGATGCGGCATTGATGTTCATTGCGAGTTTGGTGCTGTGTGTTTGGAACCCAGCGGCTTTGATCCTGGATGCGAGGGAGAATGCGAGAAGGATGCAAGCTGGGGTGGAATTGAGACATGAGCAGGGTGCAAAGAAGTGATCGTCTTTCAAGATATCTACAGTACATACATAATGGAGACTCAACACAGTGTATTATCATTATCAACAAACATGACAGGGTAATAACTAAGGGTAACTAGGTAACTAGGCAACTAATGTTTAACAAACTGACTATCCTCCTCTGAACAGTGGATCCAAGAGTTACGCGCCAGAACAATGGATGTGTTTGTCACACTTTTGATATTACAGCTCTCCAGTCTGAGGTGTCTCTATCTAGGCAAGAATTATGCCTGAGAGAGCCACCTTATGGGCATAATGCTCTGTTCAGCCCTCTGTAAGGATTACTAAAATAGCTATCTCCCTTCCTTTACACATCTCCAAGATATGTCAGTTGTATATCCTGACCTTAGTATTAATATTCATAGGTTCGTAAATGTTCGGAATACAGCCGATGTCCTGTCCCTGTTCTACTTACTTTTAGTTAAACAGATAATAACCTTAGTTAATAACCCTGCTACCACTTTCATATGGCCCACGAAATATCCACTAAATCTATCAAAAACTTGGCTGTCCTTGAGGGTTGAGCTGACCTTTATAGACTTAATGTACCATCAAAACAGTTACTTAAGGTCCTTAAGTGTAGGGACTGGATGTTCCTTTCTAACTTTATAGTCCTTAGGCATTCCCTTCTCTACGACTAGGAACCCATTAAGGATTACTTAAGCTGGTGTAGGTCTAATATCAGAGTTATGGATACTTACTCCTTATATATGCGCACCCGCTTCCTGTATGCCTCTCGTATCTCTAGAGATGCTCTACATAAGCTCTGTTAAGCATCCTTCTCTAGATAGGCATTAGGATTATAACCTCACTGCTTATAAAGTTGATGGTGCTCCTCCTATCTCTTCTCTTCGCGGGCAGTCTTTTAAGCATTAGAAAGGCCGGCCATACTAGAAGACTGAAATGGAGATAGAAGTAGTAACAGAGTATAGACACAGGGTAAGTAGAAGTATAATTAACAGAAGACCTGGAAAGTTGAAGTTTCCCCATTAGCAAGCTTAGGAAATGCCATTTTATACATGCGTAACATGGGGGGCGCCGGGGAAACACTGGGTAATCCTCCATTTGATTATTTTTGATCCATCTAAGCCTGCCCCTGCGCGTGAGACTATGATGAACAGAGTCCAAGCTAAGACACTAAGTGCCCTGGCCTTTGTGATGCCCTCATGAAAGTGATGGTGGATCTCATGGATCTCCCCAGCTTTAGGTGTAATGCAGTTTAGAGAGCACAAAAGTGTCATGTGATTCCCCATGTGGGTGGGTGCTTGAGCTGATCCAGATTACTCAGGCGGGATCAATGAGTAGTCTGGGAGCTGCTGGAGTGGTTGGTGTGTGCTTAATGAGTGTTCAGTGAGTGTTCGATGAGTGCCTGGAGCTCTCAGGGCGCTCTCACATGCAGCCCTCATAAAAGCAGCGGCACCCGTATTAGGCAATCGAACGGGAATTGCAGAAAAACTGTCCAGTTATATACTAATGACTGTCATCATTCTAGGCACCATTCAATATGATTAGGCTAATTTGACTAGATCCTCTCGCTTGCAAGCTTGACACCTTGGCAATCCGGATAGGCTTATTGACATGGCCTCGATGGATGGGTTATGAAGATGCATAAAACCGGAGCTGTAGCCTTTGTTGATGCAGGCACGTGATTCTATATCTCAGAATCTCAAGTCCATCAACATTACCATCCATCTTCTTGGGGGTAGCAGAAATGACTCTCTTCCACCGCTAGCTGATATATTTAGGATAAAAACTGACAGAGTCGCTGAGTAACACATATCGCCGACGCTGTTACACAAATGACAGCCCTCGGAGCAAAAAGCCATAACCCGCCGCGGCTCACCCTGCTCCAAAGACTCCAACTACTCGCAAGGGTCCTCGTTTCCCTTCCCCGTTTCATCTTCGGCATCACCCGGGACCTCGTCTTCAACCGGGACTCCGTCTCCTTCAGAACAATCTGGATGAGAAACACCGCCCGCGTAGCCGACACGCTCCCGCTCCCCCAGGCACGCGCACTCCAACGACCATCAGGACGCACCATCGCCTCACTCTGTGAAGCCCACCACCTCCGCCATGAGACCGTCGAACTAGACGCAGGCAGCGCCTTCCCCCGCGCAACCCTGCACTTTATCGACTGTGACCCCACCGCGCGCAGCGCCAGCGGGAACGGGAGCGGGAACGTCCTCGTCTATTTCCACGGCGGAGGGTACATCACTCCCCTGTCCGCAGGCCACTTCAAGTTCGCGCGCGCAGCCGCGCAGAGACTAAATGCGAAATGCGCCCTGCTTGAGTACACCCTTGCGCCGGACCTCAAGTACCCCGGCCAACTGGCGCAGGCGGCCGCCGCGCTGCGGTACCTGCTGCAGTACCATACTGCCGCGGACGTCACGATAGCGGGCGACTCGGCGGGCGGGAATCTCGCGCTGGCGGTTCTGGCGCATCTTCGGGAACCGCATCCGCTTGTCCGGCCTGTTTTTGAGGGCGGGGATCACCAGCAGCAGCAGCAGCAGCTCCGCGCGGCGCTCTGTATCAGTCCCCGCTGCGCGAATGAGTGCTCCGCTGCGAGCTATACGTATAACGCTTCTAAGGATATTGTTAGTAAGGCGTCGATGAAGATGTTCAATTCGCACTGGGAGCCTGTGAAGGAGGAGGTTTGGGCGACTCCGCTGGCTGGAACGAAGGATTTTTGGGGATCTGTTCCTGCTAAGAAGGTTCTGCTGCTTGCAGGTACGGACGAGGTCTATGTGGATGATATCCGGCAGTTTGGCGAGTTGCTCGGGTCATCGAGCCGGGTTGACACGGAGCTTGTTCTGTGTACCGAAGAGATCCATGTGCAGGCTATTCGTGACATAGCCGTGGATAATTGGGATGGTGTTATGCTGAAGGTTGCTCTCAACTGGCTACAGAACCTGGGGGAAAACTAAATGACCCGGGGATTATTGTTGCCACCTTCGGAAAGGGGTTTGCGCTGCATAGAGCAAGACGATACTTAGTCATGATAGATTACGATAGACGGCATGCCCGTGATGATGCATCGTTCAAGGGTGATCATTCATTCTTTTGTATTCCGTTACACGTCAAGTGCTCAAATAGATGTATAATATAAAACAAGATACCCGAAAAGACCCAAGGCCGCAAGCAGCCCATCCTAAATTATCCTCAAACATGCGCTTTACATCTTCTCGCCGTTGGCCTGCTTCATCTGGCCGTACTTCTTCAGACGGATAGCGGACACGCCAATGAAGCCGGTGGTTTCGGTGGGAGCAAAGTCACCAATCTCGTCCATGCTGGACTCGGACATGTCGTACAGCTTCTCGGTCTCGGAGGAACGGCCGAGAATGGAAACGCTGCCCTTGTAGGCGCGGCAACGGACCTGTCCGTTGACGGTCTTCTGGGAAGCAGTGATGGAAGACTCGAGGAATTCCCGCTCGGGAGAGAAGTAGAGACCGTTGTAGAGGAGCTGAGACGCAGTTAGCAGTCAACCCTACAAACTAGAATTCGGCCTGGCAGGGACAAACCTTGGAGTAGTTGTAGGTGACGAATTGGTCACGCAGAGCACGGACTTCACGGTCCAGAACCAGACCTTCCAGATCACTGTGGTCGAATTAGAGACAGCCGGGAAAAGACAGGTTGAGGAAACTCACATGTGAGCAGCGCGCAGACAGGTGAGACCAGGGGTCTCGTAGCAACCACGAGACTTGATACCGATGAAACGGTTCTCAACAATGTCAATACGACCAACGCCGTTGCGGCGAGCAATAGCGTTGGCGGTCAGGAACAGGTCGACAGCGTCGGTAGCGACCTTCTTCTGGCCACCCTCAGTGTATTCCAGCTTGACGGGAATACCCTTCTCGAAGTGGACAGTGAAATCCTCGGGCTGGTCAGGGGCGGTGAGAGGGTCCTGGGTGAGCTTCCACATGTCGGAGGGGGGAGTGACGTCGGGGTCCTCAAGGATACCGGCCTCGTAGGAGCAGTGGGCCAAGTTCTCGTCCATAGACCAGGGCTTGGACTTGGTGGAGGTCACGGGAATGCCCTTCTCGGCGGCGTAGGAGAGCAGGTCGTTGCGACCGGCGAAGCGGTTGTAGAAAGCAGGGTCACGCCAAGGGGCAATGACCTTGATATCGGGCTGCAGGGCGTAGAAGGCAAGCTCGAAACGGACCTGGTCGTTACCCTTGCCGGTGCAACCGTGGGAAACAGCGAAGCATCCTTCCCTCTGTACAATCCTCGTCAATGTGCGATTCTAGTATAGTAAAAGCAGCAGGGGAACCAACCTTGGCGACCTCGATCTGAGCACGAGCAATGACGGGACGGGCCAGAGAAGTTCCTTCCAAGGAAATTAACATCAACACAGTTTTCTTTTTGGTACCCGTGACATACCCAGAAGGTAGACGTTCTCGTAGATAGCATTGCAGGCAATGGCGGGGAAGCAGAGCTGCTCAATGAACTCCCCTACATTGCTGTTAGATTCCATTGTGAACACCCAGGCAAATCTCTCGAGTATACATACGGCGGAGGTCGGCAATCTCGCACTTGACGGCACCAAGCTTCAGAGCCTTCTCCCGGATAGCGTCAAAGTCCTCTGGACGAGCGATGAGTCAGAACCTCAAAATCGGACTAATTCGCAGTTCGAATCTCGCATTGATGAATTACCTTCCTGGCCAACATCGGCAGCTATTGAAAAAGTCAGCTATGCTTTCCTCGTTGTCCAAAGTTCGAATCCGTCTTACTGAAAGCAACAACCTCGTAGCCCTCGTCAATGAGCCATTTCACTAGAACCGGTGGTCAGCACGGGCCCATAACACCGCTGGTGAAAGTGTGGGGCAATTACAGATGACACTGGTGTCGAGACCACCGCTGAAGGCGACGCAAACCTTTCCTTTCGACATGGTTGAGATGTGTGATGGAGCAATTGATGGGGAGAAAATCAAGAGCAGGAGAGGGAAACAATTGGAGAGGGAATGGAGCTTGTGGGGGGTATTTAAAGACTGGATTGAGTCATTCCCTCCAGTTTGGGAGAAAAAGTTTTGGCGGGAGACGTACCTCTGTACCTGGCGGTCTGGGGCACTGCCTGTTTGGGACTAGGGCGCTTGGCACCGCCGAAATCGCTCTGTGCGATAAGATAAGAGCGGGGCGTCGATCATTGCCTCATAGAACGGCAGAAACTCCAGGCTTAGAAGACCTTAGGAAGAGTGTCATCAAGAAGATAGTTTGTGAGAGGAATCTCAAGATCATCTGGAGTCCGTCAATGGCATGAGTTGATGAAGACTCAGTCGAGAATAGAATGAATCGAGTGCTCCAAGCCTGAGCGAGCCGAGCGATAAGCAACCACCGTCACCCGATCTTCAGACAGGATGCGCCTACATAAAATGACTCGTCACAGCAACACGAATGATGGAAAATAAAAGTTGATGATTATGGAATCAATCCATTTTGGAGTCACTCGACTCATTACTGACCAGGGATAGCCGCTGATACTCTGGTCTCGATAACATATGGAAGGAAATAAGCGCCGAACCATCCTGGTACTACCTAGGGACATCGCCGCGATCGACCAATGGAGGAGGGAAGGTTGAAATAGGTGTATCAGTCAGAAAGATGCAACTCTTTGATCATCTTACGGAATCTCTTCAAGGCTCTGTCGCTTTCCCTCACTTAGAGATATAGCCCGGCTTTACTGCAACTGTAAGGCCTCGGCACGAACACCGAAAACAGCGTTACATCATCGGTCTGCAGTAGCGCAAGGCGATTTCTAATCCCCCTCAGTTGGCACTGACTTTTAGTCTCATATCTGAACCTTGCATCCCTTATTGTTCTTCAACCCTTTGTCGAGCTGTGTTGATATTGCAAATACGTATAAAGTCCCACCAGTGTCAGTAAACCATGTCGCGACCTGCTGTGCCTGACATCGAGAACAAGCGCGCCCCGGGTGTCTCTTATTTTACTCCGGCCCAAGAACCGCCTGCAGGCACGGCTGCTAATCCTCAGTCTGATGGATCGGCACCTCCGAAGCTCTTTAAACCCCTTTCGGTGAGGGGTCTGACCTTCCACAATCGCATTGGTGTGAGTACCACTGATCCCAGCCACTATGCGAGCCTTTGCCCCTGAAAAAATGGCTTACATTGAGTGATAATTGGTAGCTATCGCCGCTATGCCAATACTCAGCCGATGATGGACATATGACTCCCTGGCATATGGCGCACCTTGGAGGGATTGCCCAACGAGGGCCAGGATTCTTAATGGTCGAGGCAACAGCAGTCGAACCGGAAGGCAGGATCACGCCCCAGGACCTAGGACTGTGGAAAGACTCCCAGATTGAGCCATTGAGCCGCGTGATCGAATTCGTCCACAGCCAGAACCAGCTGATCGGCGTGCAGCTCGCACACGCAGGTCGCAAGGCCAGCACCGTCGCGCCATGGCTCTCGTTCAACGATACCGCCTCCGAGAAGATGGGCGGCTGGCCAGACCGGGTCAAAGGCCCCACGAATGTGCCCTTCACCGACCGGACCCCTGTGCCGAAAGAGATGACCAAGCAGGATATCGAGGATCTGAAGACCGTCTGGGTGGCTGCTGTAAAACGGGCCGTCAAGGCCGGGGCGGACTTCATCGAAATCCATAATGCGCATGGCTATCTTCTGATGTCGTTCCTCTCTCCTGCAGTCAACACGAGGACAGACGAGTACGGAGGCAGCTTCGAGAACCGCATTCGGCTCAGTCTGGAGATCGCCAAACTCACCCGGGAAAATGTGCCCAAGGATATGCCCGTGTTCATGCGAGTCTCCGCCACGGATTGGCTGGAGGAGGTGCAACCGCACAAGCCCAGCTGGCGAGGCGTGGACACTGTCAGATTTGCAAAGATACTGGCAGAATCTGGGTACATTGACGTGCTTGACGTGAGCAGCGGTGGCACTCATTCGGAGCAGCATATCCACGCGAAGCCAGGCTTCCAAGCACCCTTTGCCATTGCTGTCAAGAACGCCGTCGGGGACAAACTCGCAGTGGCATCCGTAGGCATGATTGACAGCCCGCATCTGGCTAATTCCTTGTTAGAGAAGGACGGACTGGACCTTGTGCTGGTTGGACGTGGCTTCCAGAAGAACCCGGGATTGGTGTGGGCCTGGGCCGACGAGCTAAATCTGGAGATCTCTATGGCTAATCAGATTCGATGGGGCTTCTCGCGGCGCGGTGCCGGTCCCTACCTGAGAAAGAGACAAGAGAAGATATAACTCCCTTTCAGTGAACTAGATAGAGGTTGTGTAGGCATCGACTTGTTCATAAAGAGTGTGCCATCAGATTGTGTAGAGCCCATAGATTGTCACTCATCAGCAGACAATCTAGAACCCGAACTAAAGAAGTATATGTACATCCAATCTACCATGAAGATAGTTCTGCAGGGGTGGGGGGGAATATGATGCCAGAATCTGCTTAATGCGCTCATGAAAAGGGCCCTTAGGAAAAATGACAAAGGCTTAAACTTGCTAGCATATCACAAACGATGTTGTGTGGCTGTCAAGCGGTTCCCGCGAAGTTCTGCCAAAACAATCATCGTTAGCCGTCTCGCTCACATAACCAGCTTAAGAGAAGAATTCACCTTCCCAGGTCTCCAAGGCCACCTTCTCTGCATCCCAGCCCCAGAGGAATTTCTGCGTCTCCCGATCGGCCCATTTGTCGGGATTCGATGCCCCGTTCATCGAAGCGCGGAACTGGTCGTCGCGGGCCTGCTGTTCCGGTCCGTCGGGAAGATGCAGTGTCGCGCGGTTGACGGTCCCGGACTGCTGCACTGTCTCTGCGCGGTGTTTGCGCGACTTTTCGTATGCCGCTAGGGCAAGGGGAATTTCGCTCCGCGAGGAGATGGTGGATAGGAGGACGCCAAGAGCAGCGGCGTCTTCTACTGCCTGGGCGGCACCTTGGCCGACGTATGGACTGCATGGGTTAGCAATTGGATATAATCGGGATGGTTGCGATTAGCTTACAGCATTGGATGGCAGGCATCGCCGAGCAAGGCCACGCGGCCCTTGATCCACGTCTTTAGAGGCGGGTGCTGGCACAGCTTCCACTCGAGGACTTCGTTATCCTTGACCAGGCCGATGAGCTTCGTTACTCGTCTGTCCCAGCCGCGATAGTCATCGACCATCATCTGCTTCGAGCCCCTGGTCGTCCACGACTCTTCGACATCGGTGCGGTCCGGGTGAAGCAGGACGATGTTGTATAGCTGATGTTTGCGGACCGGATAGGCGATGATGTGGCGGTAGGGTCCGATCCACCGCGTTGCCTGGGGCTCGTCGATGAGCTGCTTCAACTCGGGATCATTCTCCATGGCGCTTCGGGGAAGCATGATTCTGTACGCTGCGTCTCCGGTGGGAATGGCCTTGGTGGCACCTTTGCCCAGCAGCTGGTCCCGAATACCGGATTTAATCCCGTCGGCTGCGAGAACTACGTCGCCTTGCACCACGGTGCCGTCGGCGAGGGTCACGGCCGGAGGGTCGAACTGGACGCGAGTGACGGTCGAGTTGACCCGTACTTGGACATTCTCCAGCGCCACGGCCTTTTCGATCAGCGCATTGTGAAGGTCTGCACGGTGGACAACTACTTGTTGGCCATATGTCTTGTTTACTGGCATTGTTCCTAGAAGACTGCCGTCCTGCCATCGTCGGACGTGGATGTATTCCAAGGCGACGTCCTTGGCGTGTATTGAGGGAGAGACTCCCCATCCTGTGGACATTAGCTGATTTCGAAAGGCCACGGAATTCATCATTCCACGCACTGTCAAACAGCGTCAACATGTTCGGGGAGCCTTGGATACCGGCTCCGACTTCCATGAGCTATCAAAGTCAGTCCGACTTCTTCTGTCCAAGTTCTCAAGCCCTTAATACATACCTTTGGGGCTGATTCAAGTACAATGACATGATGTCCTCGTTGGCCCAACGCCAGCGCAGCAGCCATACCCCCAATGCCTATACCAGTTAGCCTACGGTAGGTCATCCACGTTCACGTAGCATACCGGCACTGAAACAGTCAGCTGGAGTATAGATGCGGTGCAGCATGAGACCTACCCAACAATAACCACCTCGAGAGGTGTCTTTGCCCTTGGTACAATCATGGTGATGAGATAGTACAGCGGAAGCCAACAATTCACTTCGCCACCGACGTTCCAAATAGTGGGAAACGACGAAGCAGCCGCGTGGGTGAACAAAGGAATATATCTACTCTCGACGGGGGAAGCGGCAAGGATTTCAGTCTCGAATGGCCCTCGACTTCCCCACAGCCCAGCGAGCGCAAAACGTAACTGATCATTTTCTGATAAACGTTATTATTACCTCCGATCCACGTTTCTCAGCTGTTACTCCGTTTAAGGAGACTCAAAAACGTCGACCATGCCGAAACTATGCGGGGCTCGGGCCATTTCCACCCGTATAAAATTGCCGTTTTCAGACATCGCCATTATCAAATATCATCCTGACACATGCAACCTGCTTACACGGCCGCATGCGAACCAGCAAATAATCATGACCATGACTCCGTGCTCGCGACGATATGTGGCTCTTTGCGCACATCCCATGCGCCCACACGGCACCAGCGCTGGGTGAACCCGGTCTTTGGCTGTGACCCGGCTCTGCGACATGCCTGCATCTGCCGAACAACGCCTCTCCCCAGGCTTCTCCGTGCGCTTCCGCGGGATCGTCCCAGACTCCCAGCACAAGCCAGGCTTGCATTTACTAACTGGTTTTTGCGTCTGGTCTGACTTCCGCGACCTGTTTGGAGTAATCCGAGTCTCAGTATATCTAGAATGTTGGGGGCTGTTTCGCGGATTGTAATGCTGATATCTAGATCACGGCAAAGGATGCTTCCTGCAGTGCCGATGGCGCCCGAGAAGTCATCATGATGGAAT